AATTTGGAGAGAAGCAATAAAAGAAAAGAGAAGAGGAAAGCTGAAGGTTTCACATGGCGCGGCTCTCTAAGACTTGCTGTACGAGACTGCGGGTTTAAGGAAATTAACCAACCACCATACATTCCAGATCTAAGCCACTACTATTTTTCCTAAACTTAAAAAAGACCTTGGGGGAAAGCGATTTGCTGACGATAATGAGCTCAAAACCGTTGTAAATGAACATTTTTCAGGCCAAGACGAAGAATATTTTTTCATTGAAATAGAAAATCATTTTGCACGAACAAGTAAATGTATTGATGTATGATTGACTATATTGAAAAATAAAAAATATTTCATAATTTTTTCTTTTTTCTAACATAATCATACCGAGAATACATTGAACGCCCCTCATACATACGCAAGACAAAGTGGCAGATTGTACTCTTCGGGCTACTATACAATTTGTCGAAGGGTGGTCTATGGTACTAAAGCCTTTTCGGAAACCGGCTTCTTCGGTAGGCTGGAAGAGTTGTCAAGTACGCTTGTAAGACGATTCTTGATGACTCTCGAAAACAACACGCAGATGGCGCTCGGAAGGGAAATTAGCCTATATTTCTTCATTAGAGCGTTGTCGCCTTTCTTGAAGAACAAGACCACCGCACTTTTTCTTCACGCCTCCGGAGTAGTGCCACCATGAAGGCTGGAATTGAAGAGCTTATAAGCAGATCAGCAAGCTAAAGAGGCAATGGGCCGGCCATATAGCTGGAAGAACCGACAATTGATGGTAAAGAAAGGTACGAGTGGCAGCTTCGACTAAGAAAGAGCTTTTATAAAGTACTATAACTACAATATTTAATAAAGCAATACTTTTTAGGTATTTTATTAGCTGCTTTATTTAAAATGTCGACAGTGCAGGCCACTTTGAAGACTGATAAAAGTGATTTATGGAATTTCGTAATTGTTTAACCCACATAGTGAGGTACTTTCGAAGAATTTATTTATCAATAGAAAAATGTTGTATCCTTTATTTACACGTACAAATTAATATTGTAATATTTTACCGTTACCGTTGTCGCTACAGCCTATCAAAAATCCACCGCTAAATATGGGATTGCCTCATATGAGGATATTTGCCATAGATGCCACACTTGGTAGGCCGGATGGCAACTGCAGTTTTTTTTTTAGTTGTGTTACGGCCCGCAGTTGCCCCGACAGCAGTCGACTGGACCAGGGCCCATGAGTGATCCCCTCGGCGAGCAACCAGAGGGTTCGGGTCCAAATGGCCTATGGATTATTATTAACTAATGGCTGATAAGCAAACACAACTTACCGAGTTCCGGAGGTAGGGTTGACCACAGGGTATCAGTCAGGTGGTAAATAAGGTGTATGTAAGAAGTGCGCAAAAGTGTGTATAAATGTAACCTGACGTCACCGATGTAATCGGACAGCAGATTTTTCAGAGGCGCTGCTTTTCTCCAAAATGTGCGATCCCTCCAGTAGGCGTTCACCAATTGAAACCTTCTGCTTTTATTTCACTATATTAGTTCATTAACTTTATTGTACATTTAATTAACTTCAAATTTAACTAAATCAACGTTAATCGAAATTAAAACAAGTGACACGCTGCACAACTTAAGAACGGTCGGTCAAAGTTCAATGTCCCATGTTCACTTTGCACCAAATTATCATAGAGCACAAATGCGATCTCCTCTCGAGTCACAAAGTTTTAGCGTTCCACCCGACAAAGCAAAAATTTCTTCGTGCGATATTAAAATGCCACAAAAGCAACTCGTCGACGCAAATTAATGGTAATCGAAGTTAAGTTCCGGAGTGTGGTGCCACTCACGCTCCCCTCGCGGTTGCGTTCTGCAGGTTGCCGCCGTGTTTGGCATTACAGGTCGGCGGATTGGGACGGAATGCGGTCTTTCTTTGCTTCCTACCCATGGGGGCGGGTTTGCTTCTCGCCGGATGATCCCAGCGCTGTTGCTGACTCTGTCACTGATGTGGTGCTACAGGGAATGGAACTAATTATTCCATCATCTGTGGTACCCATCGGAGGCAGATCTCAGCCTTGGTTTAGTCGCTCCTGTAAGACTGATTTACGCAGTAAACAGGAGTGTTATCATGCCTGGGCTGCGGCTTCGGCGACTCGGGATGTAAACACCAGCATACTTAAAAGAAGTATAACTTCGCCTCCAGGTCCTTCAAAAAAGTTATTGCCAAGGCAAAGTCAGAGCACATAGGCAGAATTGACGAGAAACTAGTTCGCCTTCCTTCGGGAACCCGTGCATTCTGGTCTCTCGCCAAGGCTGTCCAAGGGAATTTCTGGAAGCCATCACTACCATCTCTGCACAGGGAGGACGACTCACTGGCCCACGACGCAAAAGAGAAGGCCGACCTTTTAGGCTCCCGATTACATCCGATTGCATGTCATTCAGTATATGCTGTTAATATGTAGAGATTAGCTGTTATGTTAAGTCACCCTAGTTATTAGGTTATATAATTAAATATATTTTAAGAACTTTGTATATAAATGACTATTTATAAGTTGAGGTTTAAAGATAAAATAAAAAATATCGATAAAAGATTATTTGATGTGTTAATTTAATAATTTAAAATTTTGTACAACCGACTTCAATATAAATTATTCAGAATTATTCAAAAACTTGGTCAGACCTTGATCAAATTTGTATGGGACCACATGAGAAGCACCAGCTTTTAAATAAAAAACAATCATCGAAATAGGTTCATCCAAAAAAAATTTTGAGGTAACATACAAAAAAAATATACAGTCAAATTGAGTACCTCCTTCTTTTTGAAGTCGGTAGAAAAATAAATGGAATTAACTTGAGACCCCTACGGATTACGGTTCCGCTACCTTTATATTGTATTTATATTATATTGTATCATTTTAAATTACCGTTTTCTGATTAATAAGGTTTGACTTTATCAGAGTTGATATAAAAAAAAATTGTAATTACAAAGTAATGATTTCTTATATTTAAGCGAACACTACACATTTAAATAAAACTAGTTTTACGGATTTTATCGCGTATATTAACTTATTTGATATTCCCGACGTTTCGAGTACTTTACAGCATACATGGTCACAGGCGGACTGGGGTCCTTGACGTCCCAATGTCATAGTTAACCACGGCTACGTCCAGATTAAAACTAATTAATTGCTGTTCCGATCCACGCAGTGTGAACTTACAGTATCTTGAAGTCTTGCAGTTGTATGCTTGGGTTGGGATTTAATTTTATTAATTATAGGATCCCAAGCAGATGGTAGCACCCAGCCATCTCTATTGAAATTAGGATGTTTTTTGACTTGAATAGCCTCGCGAATCATCTTTGGGAGGAATCAGTGTTCTTTAGCGAGGATTTGTGGGCGATCCAGGCGATCAAGTATGTTTTAATGGAATCACGCTTCAAGATGAATCCAATCTTGTCAGTGACACCTCTCAGCAGTGCAGCAGGCATACACTCGACTGTGGCCGGCTTCACTCGTTCACTGTGACGTAGGCGCGGGACCCGAAGCTTATTGTCGTGCAAAACTTGCTTGACTTGTTGGAGCTCGGCGGCCAGGTGTTTACTGTCACAGATCCTTCGTGCTCTCTGAAACAAAGATTTACCCACGGTAGCTAACTGTGAAGGATGGTGATGAGAATCACCGTTTGAATATCTATCTGTATGGGTCTTTTCTATACACAGTGTGGCTCAAGGTGTTGTCAGGATTCCGAATTACTAACAGATGTGTTAAAGAATAGCTAAGATCTAAAGAATTGTTTGCCTCTAACTCCGTTGTGAACTGAATTTTAGAATTTATGGAATGAAAATGTTCTAAAAATGCAGTTACTTTATCTAAAGGTAGAATTGCAGTAAAGTACTGGAAACATCGTAAATATAAAATAAGTTAATACACGCGATAAAACTAGTTTTATTCAATTTTCAAAGGAATTTAGTAAGGGTGTATTCAAAAAATACATGTTCAACTATAATAGATTTAATGAAATGTGTTATTTATAGATAACATGTGCATACATTTACAAAACATTTGCATAGAATTTTACATAAAACATATAAATATAAACAAAATTACAGTAAACATTAATTACTAATACTAAATTCGCACCTTATTAACTTTGGCAGTTAATTTGTATTTAAATTTTAATACATCTGTCTTAAATTTAAGAAAATAATTACATACCAACATTTACTAGCAGTACAGTTAACCCACGCGAAAACATGCTGCGAAAACAGCCGCTGGGAAATTTATATGACAGCCCTAATTATAATATTGTCTGACAAACAGGTTACATGATATAGTTTTCCTCAAATTGTTCAAAAAACACTTTATTCGAGTAAGTAATTAGTAGTAATCTTAAGTATGGAAAATATTATTATTAAAATAACAAATTTTTCTCTACTATATTTTGGGTTTGTGTTTTTTAAAGAATACTAATTACGCTATTACTAATACTCCCGTTAATCACTAAGAAAGCTTAAGAAGCTAATGCTAGGAATGGTTCGCCACAGTTGTGGAATGCAAGAATGAATGAACCCACGACTATCCGAAGTTTTTAATCAAACAATTTCAAATCCGAGGACCTTTAATCATTAGGCCACTATCGCTATATTGTATAAAAATTATAAATTAAAAATTTTGTACAACCGTCTTCAATATAAATGATGAATAACTCAAAAACTATTGCTCAGACCTTGATTAATTTATATGGGACCACATATGAAGCACCAGCTTTCAAATAAAAAAAGAATCATTGAAATCGGTTCACCCAGTACAAAGTTATGAGGTAATACATAACAAAAGAACATACAGTTGAATTGAGCACCGTCTCCTTTTTGAAGTTGTTAGAAAAATATACTGATTATTAACGATCTAAATATTTGCAACATTTAGGTTTATTTTATTTAGCATATTATATACTCACTTGTTACGATTATATGTTAATATTTACAACTGGTATGATTTATGTAGAGTAAATGACAATTGGTATGATTTATGTAGAGGTAGTTGGTGAGTTGCTAGGCTCGGATGGTGACTGAATTACTACACTGGGTACAATCACAGCTCTTCTCACTTGCGGCGATCCATGGGGTGAATTTTGTGGGATTCTCTGTTGACCCAACTCCTGCACCTCGATTACCTCCTCTTCCTCTTGTCGGTGGCTACCAAGAAACCATCGCCTCTTCCATGCGAAATATCCAAGTATGCAAAGTGTCACCACGATCAGAACCGCGCCCACAGTTACACCGGTAACAGAAGCAGTAGACATGAGTCCTGAAAAGAAGAATTGAAAAATAGTTATTCAACTTATTTGGTAAAACGTATTTGGATCAAGAAACTTTGATTAGAAGTGGCAATGGACCGGTCATATAGTTTTACGAATCAACAAACTGATGGGCAAGAAATGTGAGTCTAAAGTGGCAGCCTCGTACCGGTCAAGGAAGTGTATGACGGCTCCCTGAATGAGTTCCCCGTTTTTTTGTGGCGGGGGGCTTAGTAATCCACTACGGATGTGTGATAGTTGACTGCAGCGAGAGAGGGGTTCTCTCCCTCTACCGCTGCAGCCGATTTAGTCGCGAGAAAAAGAGTGTTGGTATGGCGATGCGCAATTCGCCCAATCCCCGCGATTCTGGAATGGCCGCAACGCTGGTGCGGTGGTGGTAGGGCCGCGGGGCAGAGGAGTTTCGGTTTTACGGTGTGCGCTTTCCTTACCCTCCGTGGCGAAACGTTGTCGGCAGCGGTTCCATAGACCAGATCCGCTGCTGGACTCAGGAAGTGTGGTGCTTCCTAGTGCTCGTTTTTTTTTGGCTTCATGGCCTCCGCTTTCGGACTCAGGGGGGTTGCGCAGGTGGAGTTGGAGACCGTAAGGGAAGGCGCGCCTTGTCTTACGGATGGACGGCCTTAACTGAGAAGCAAAAGAGGGAGGAGTTGTACACTTCCGAAGAGAGGCCGCTATGGGGCGGCTGGCGGGGGTGGGACCGCAGATGTTTGACATAGTTCCGTGGCCCAGCCATTATGCGCTAATGGTGAAACACCATAGGGGTTTTAGTCCGACATAACCCGTCCTTGCCGTCCTGGTTTGCGTGATCATTTAAAACGTCGATGAGAAACGATAAAACTCCATGTAAAACGTCGGCCCCCTACTAAATGCAGTGACAACCTAGTAAGCCATGCAGGAAGTCGATCGATGCATTTGGCTTACGACTTTGTGGCATTACTTGGGGGAGGTCTGTGTTCAGCACTATCTATCAAAAGTCCACTATTAAACACAGGATTCCCCCAAAGATTGACTTAGGGTAGGCAACCGTATTGTTTTATTTTTTAGTTGTTATTAGGAAGATGCTGCTGCCAATCTCCTGGTTTGCTTCCCTCTGTCGCTTCTTATGACACAAATTTGGATCCGGTACCCGGCGGATCCGGCATTTTTTTACGCCGGGTATCATTCTATAAAAGAAATCAACTATGATTAATAAATTGGATAAAGATTAACCTTATTAATATTTTTCTAGATTGTGAGAAGTCAGAAAGTGTAAAAAAGGCACGTAGGGCATCTCACAATGCTGTGTTAGTCCCAATCTTAATATATGGTAGTGAAAGTTTGATGGGGCAGAAGAATCACGAGAGTAGAAATGCGTTCATCAAGAAGTATATTAGAGCTGAATCTGACTGACAAGGTGGGAAATTTTGTGATATGAGAAAAGTGTTGCTTGCAAGATGATGTCGCGACCAGGATTGAGATAGCAATGCTTCGGTGGTTTGGTCATGTAGAAAGAATGAATGAGGAAAGAATGAAAAAGCTAAGCTAAAGAAATGTTGCAGAAGTGAACAGCAGAGTCGGCAAGGGACGCCCTAGACAAAAGTTAGTCGACCAAATTGGCGATAGGTATATTGAAGATGGGCCAGATTAACTCTTCTTCTCAATAACTGGCTTTACGGCTCTGGGATCTAGCCCTTCTGAGCCTGAAGTAACAATATTATATTATAATAATTATTCTTCATAGTACACTGCTTCACAATATGTTGATGCGTCACATTGTGCAGCCCTTGGGAGATTTTGACAGTAACTTGAGCCAGCAGACAGCTGACGGTTGGCGATGGTATCTCAAGGCGCCTAAGCAGACAGGCACCTTATTTTGAGAATCACATCACTATCAGAGCACTTGTTTCACAGTTTCCACTAATAGTTCACATGCGCAGACACTTTATACACAAAGTCGCCCCACTTTTACTTATCAAAGTCCACTTCAAACCATTATTTAAACAATAAAACAGGAGCAGCAAACCGCCGCCGGTCAAGTTCCCGCCAAAACTCCGGGCCAGATTAAGAGTAGCCTTAACCGTCGAGCATGTATGCGTAGGTATATGGATGTCAATGAGGCGAGAAAGGGGTGTCAGGTTCGTGCCAAATGGAAGTTTGTAGTCTATGCCTACCCCTCTGGGTGACAGGTGTAAGTGTTTATTGCGCTCGAATGAACTGTATTGTGTTTCGCATGTATAGCGCAATCTGTTAGACAATTATCTTGCTTTATCGCGTAGTATTGTAAAAGTTATGTCACTGCGATCTTGTTGTTATCCTGGCCGCTATATATTTTGGCGCCAATTTCTTTCAAATTTGAAAGAAGGATCAGATGCAGTGTGAAGCGACGAATAAATTTACACCACGATCAAGAAAACGTTAAGAGTCAGTGTTTACAATTAAGTTACATCTGAGCTAAGATACTTTGAACATTAAACATTTCAAACAAAATAATATACCTTTAACTTCGAGTTTAATCCGATCAATATATTCCTTGCCGTCATCCAAAGCTGCTCCGCAGGTCCAGATTCCCACATCTTCATATTTGACTTTACGTATAGTAACAGCGCAATCACCGCGGTCTAAACTTTTATTTGGCGGGAAATAATATCTATTTAAAATTGGACTGAAAAGAAATACTTAAATATAGTAGAATCAGATGAGGATATAAATATGTTTCTTCATTTATTTTGATATTATGATTTTGCCATGTACCATGTTGTGTGGTTCAGCGAATTAAAAAAAGAGATTGATTGATAGAGAGAGATGTTCAGTCTTGTCACTAGCCTTAATAAAGTGTGAGGCAACACAAAAGAAATCCTCTACGACACCACTAAAATTGTTAATCGCAATTAAAAGTGCTAATTTATCCCTAGTTCGGTAATATCTATTTAACCAATAGATGATAGGAGACTCAGTGGGAGTTATTACTTACAATTAATACTCCTAGGAACTAAGCTAGCCAAACAATTCAAACCAACATCCTGTCCCATAGAAGTCCTTAGAATTTTTGCTTATATACGTTCGGGGCCCCTGTAGCCCGGGGCCCCCTATCATTGATACGGCGGTAGCTACGCCCCTGGATGGATATTTTTTAAGCTTAACGATATTACCGTTGATTCAACGCATGCGGTATATACTTATGTCATTTGTTCGCCAAAAGTCTAGTGAAGTGCTATGTAAGCGAATATTCTGAGATTACGTTGTGTAATGTAGATGGTTGAATTAAAAAAGACGTTTCCAAAGAAAATAATGGGTCCATCTCTACCATTAATTGCTGAGATATTACAGTCAGACTTCTATATAAGTAGTATACACAGAAGTCTTTGATAAATGTTTGGCCGTGGAAGGAAAAGGAGGGATCTTCCACCGGGCTAGGTAATAGGCCAGGGGAGCGGCCAATGCTCCGAGTGGTAGTACGAAACTATTCTACTTATATATAAGAGCAGTACGTCGGAACTTTGATAGAACATACTGTTGTGGCGGCGCTGTCGTAGCGCCATAGCAGTATGACAAAATGGCACGGAAATACTCGAAGGCTCTTTTTCTAATGTCGCTTAAATTAGATACTTACTTAGAAACACTGACAGTTGAATCAATGCTGAACGGACTGGTATTAGGCGGCTCGAATCGGCAGTAACTTAGCGGCACCAAGCCTTTTGTAGTCGCACAGGCTAAAGTTACAGTCTTTCCATGCATTGCCGTAACATTATCTTGCACCGCCGCCACGTTATCCACCACTCTTAGTTCAATCACCTTCATCATCTCAACACGCGTTGCTTTCATGCCGATATAACATTTCCATACTCCGACGTCGGCTTTAGTTGCATTTATTTTAATAATACAGTTCCCATTACTTGCTGCTAAGTCTGTAAAACTGGAGAGGTAGGTATATAATTAAATATCTAGTGTAATTCTACAACGTAATATATTTTCTTTAAAGAAAAGTCCCGCTGGGTGTCTGGTTTTTCCTAGGACAGAGGTTATTTCCAAACCAGTGGTAAAAGCCAATGCATTTCAATCAGTGTTCTTGTAATATATATTGAATAAAAATTATTCTATTCTATTTTGCGCTATTCAATTTTTTTTAAATAAGTCTCTGGTATACTCTAATAGATATCGTGGATTTGTGTGTAAAAAATAATATTCTAAATAAAATAGGTAAAAAAGAACTTGTATGTATGAACACGCAAATAAAAAATATCTTTTTGTGTTAGAAAGCTCGTTTATCGATATACACTACGACTCATAGAGGCGGAGTAGTAACCATAAACCTTGGTCATGCACTCATCATGTGTTACACAGGCGTATATGTTGTCCGTCTGTCCGTGTCTGGCCGACCGTTTTTTTGAAAACGGGTAGAGGCATCACGTTAAAATGAATACTTGGAGGTATAAAAAATTAGAACTTCAAAGTCATCGCAATGAAAAGATACGGTCCTGATATAAACTCACACATCAAAACCTATAGGTTACTTCCCGTTTGCCTAGAATTATGAATTTTGGCAAAAAGCAAGGTGTCACGGCGCAAGAAAAAAAAATTCAAAAATCGTAAATTTTTAGTAATATCACAAAATAAAGTACATGAATGAAGACACATTACGAACTCTGTTATAGAAAAGGTAAAGGGAAATCACTAGATACTTCTGAAGAAGGCTTGACTGTCTTGTGGCCCAGGGGTAAATAAAATAGAGATGGGCCGAATATTCGTTTCATATTCGGTATTCGGCACCTTTACCGAACATTCGTATTCGGCCGAATATTAGGGTAAATCACCGAACATTCGTTAAAGTGGTACTCAAAGTGTCCACTGTATTAAAATGTACGAACTTGTTTGTCCACATGTCACATGAAGCCGTTAGACATTCGGCCAGACATTTGGACATTTGGCATTTTGAGTTATCTAGCTCACCTTGAGTAGTTTTAAATTTTTCGTGCAGTTGTGGCATCACTGTTTCACCTAGATATATATTTTCGGCTCGGTATTTGGTATTTGGGCATTACCAACTGCATGAGCCGATTAAAGCCTTTATTTTCGACTATAAAAATTGCCTGGTGATCTATTGCTATCATTTCAGCAATTAAATTCGTTATTGGAAGTGATCTGGGGTCCTCGATTCGCCATTTGGAAATAATTAAAAATTTTGTACAACCGATTTCAATATAAACTATTAAGGATAACTCAAAAACTATTGGTCGGACCTTGATCAAATTCATATGGTATCACATGTGAAGCACCAGCTTTCAAACAAAAAAAAGAATCATCGAAATTGGTTCACCTAGAAAAAAGTTATGAGGTAACACACATAAACAACATACAGTCGAATTGAATACATCCTCCTTTTTGAAGTCGGTTGATAAATTAATCTTCTAGTGTAGTTTGAGTGGTTGGACAGGTTTTAGTATTTGTAGATTCAGCACCACTGGTAGAGGGTTGGGTGAACTGTGCAACTTCAGATTCATGCTGTGTCATTTCAATGTTTTGTATATTTGAGCCTACTTGATGCATAGGTTTTTCTAGACCAGAAAATTCAGCAGTCTTTTTCAATTTTAAATGATTGCTCAAAGCCGAGGATGAAGCTTTTCTGCCGCTGCCACTCCGCGAAAGTATTTTTACGCAAATCGTACATTTCACTTTACTTTGGTCGTCAGTTTCTCTAAAATAAATCCAAATAGTAGATCTCCTCCTGCCACTCATTTTTATCATATATTTATCAATTTTCACTAAGAATAACACAACGAAACACTTTATTTCTCACAAAAACAGTCAAAACATAAGCACGTGTCGACAATTAGCTCAGTACTAGATGATGCAATAACATGTCAGGTGTGGCGGGGGAGTGAGGGAACTTAGGTACCGAGGTGATCCTGCCGAACAATGTTCGGCCGAATATTCGGTTCGGTAAGTTTTACCGATATTTCGGCCAAATATTCGTATTCGGTGAAATCCATATTCGGCCCATTAAATACCATAGTCAAAATTTGTGGACGTCGCATGTTTCATCTGATTCTAAAAGTCTAAACAGACTTTTACAGGGGAACGAAAATATCGTAGATGACTAGGATTCGGAGGCGACTGATTTTCTTGTTGAACACGAAAATCAACAACAAGAGGAAGAATTAAATTAGTCTTAAGAGTGATTGTTATTATCGCACGTTGATCTCATTTTATTTTTACATTATATAATTCTAACTTTCTTGTTTTTTTATTCATACATTCGAAAACGTAAGTTTAAAAGATTGATAAATTTTAGACTAATTAATGAGTTTTATAATGTAAACCAATAACGATTTAAGCTTTAAACTTAAATTATATCAAAACTAGCCCAATATGGATTGGATCCTTTAGTTTAACTATCTACGTCCAATGAATCTAAAAGCGAAACAGTTGAACAATTTTATTTATACAACTGTAATATTTAATTTAACTTATGTTGTAGGTATTTTATATTATATATAATAAATTTTAAATGTGGATTGATAAATAGGCACAAAGTAATATGGTGATGACAATAATAACATCAATTAACGTTGATAAAAATTAAATTTTCGAACACTGATGAGCCGCATGAAGGTTAAAGACAATATTAAAACATTGCATACAATATTATCACTTACGAATATCTTCTGCCGCTTGGATGAAGAAATCCACAATAAGACATTGGTAAATTCGTATTACACTGTATCGCGACGTTTTCATTTTCAAGTGCTAAAATAGTTTCCACGCCGCTATATTCAAATACCCTGAAAGCTTTACGAAACAAATACATTTTATCTTTCTAAATAAACTATCACATAGTGTCACTTCATTTTATATTTAATGTACCGTAAATGTATTTTGAAAACTCGATTAATATAATAAGAGGTATTAATCGATACACTTTCACTACACTCATCATGTCAATTGTTTGTAGGTACACAATCAACTATTTCTTAATAATACCTACTGACTACCCTCCCGTTTTTATTTGGCGATAAACTTAATGAAATGTCAAAAGGTCGACACAACTGGGTAATAAGTATTTATTTTGCTCCAATTACTCTGTGTTGTGTAAACTAACGTATCGTAATATTAATAGGTACTTTAAGTGAGCAATTTTGGTTTAAAACGTATAAAAAGATTTTTACTAGCGCCGAGTGAAGTTAGGTCGCCCTTAAAATCGGACTTGCTTTCAATTTTATAAACGAAACGCTACTTAGGTACGTACGAATACCACCAGCAAACAAAGACTGATGTAAGTAGTAGTAGATTATCTGACTTTTAAATGTTTTTGTATTCAATATTGTACTTATGTTCAGCCATTTACAATTATTATCTACTTTGTAGGTCCCTAAACATTTTTACAAAATAGGTACATAAACTGAAATATACAAAATACTGAGAGATATACAACATAATTTGGAGCTTACAGTAAATATTAATCAAGATTTCCATAACAAGAACTTTTTATAAGGCACGCAGTTCAAGTTTGGAGGAGTTGAAATTTAGCAGTTTCTCGAAAACTCAACATCTATTATAAAAATCCAAGATTTTTCTGATGTGTTCACCATATTAAGCAATAAAATGCAATGATGCCTAACAGTCTTTTACTGAACTGCTTGACCACCATATTATGCCATTGCGTATTTAGAAAAATAAATATTTTGAGAAAATGTGCGGTCCGCAAACACGTACCGCCGCAGCCGCAGTGCGACGGACTTGCTGCTTTATATACCTCTCACAAATGAAATGTAGCATGTGCCCAGAAGCAGATAGCCGCTAACTAACATTATTAAGTATTTGGTTGGATGTATGAGTAGTAGCTTTATATTGCTGTGTTTCGTATGGTGAGTGTAGAAAACGGGAAACCTGAGACATTCCATCTAAGTACTCAGGCGTGACAACGCGTCTGCATTTTGATTTTGAATCGATGATAAATGTAAATAAATGTCTATTTGCTATGGGCCACAGGATCCACTTACCATTAAGTAGAATGTGTGCTAGCTTGTCACCGTATTCTATAAAAATATTTGTGTTACAGACATAAATAATTGCACATGTATTTAACAAACATTCAAACCGGGAACAATATACACACAATTTTTACGTGGGGTATTCGAACCCGCGGCTCCGCAGCCTTACTCTTAGTTTAATTTTTATTTAACCTAAGTTCGAATCCACCATTGAAACTAACCGAAAAATGCCGATTTTCCATGAGTCCAGATATCCAAAGAAAACAACAGGGATAACCTGCATGTCCGAGAAAAAATAATTTAGAGAATATAATAAGAGGTTTGCGCACCTTCCTTTCGCACTTCGCGCTTCGTGCGCATTCGCACTGGAGCGCGACGGGCCTTTTTTGTTCCTAGTTATGAAATCATGTGAATCTCGGAAACAAGAGGGGGCCTGTGCCTATTAGCAAAATGTGTGTTACACTTCTTAAGGCGCAGGTTGAGCAAAATGTCGCGCTAGTCGTTATTTGTGCGGTTTTTAGAAGCTATCTACTTTTTATTTAAAAGATATATCAACAAATAAAAAACACATTATATTTCTACATAATCTTGATTCCATAAAAGCTATATCCAATTTTTGTTTAAACGAATAAATATTAATATAATCTCCTTACAACGAAACCATATAAATGTGAAATTATTATTGATAACATGCATCTCCTCGTAAAGTAAGTATTATTTTATTTTGCGATTTACACCAATGGATAGGCAATTTATTAATAAACATTTCTATAGTAAATTTTTTTTCAAAAGACCAAAATTTGATTTTATTCAGAAATTATTTTAAAATCTGGGCATATTCACTGCTCACGGGCTTGCTGAAGTCAGTGAGCCCTGAGCTCTTCGACGTGAAGCCCGTGTCGTTCATAGATAAATATATATGTAGCAAGGTGTCGTTAGAGCGTCGACCAGCGCAACTCACGTCATATTAGTCGATAATAATATTACATATTAGGTTATTTATAGGTAGTATTATTTGTTTGTTTTGGGTATAATTTTTCGTATTAGTTATACATATATTTCTTGTGTTTTTTACTGCGCGATGAAGCTTTTTCCGTGTAATTTCTTTTAAGTAAATGCAAATAAAAAAATGAAGCACCATTAGCATGTAAGGTTCGAATCCATAATTAAAATTTCGACAAATATTATAATTTACACTATAAAAGGCTAATTCAATATTATCACCCAACCACAATATCTTTTTAAGTATAGTACTGCCTCGTTGGTCTAGTGGTTGTAGTAGTGCTGCTGCTGATCATGAGGTCCCGGGTTCGAATCCTGGGTCGGGCCCAAAAGTCAGTTATGAGTTTTTCATTTTGTTCTAAGTTATAATTAGTATTACTAAGTTATAGTTTTTTGCTAAAATATAGTATATTATTTATTGCTTGCTTTTTCTTCTTTTTCAAAAAATAATTGAGTACATAAGGTGTTCTATACTTATAATTCGGTAAAAAGTATCTAAGTAGGTACTAATATACCTACTTTTTACTAACTAAAAATGTTTAAAACTAAATTTAACTAAAACAACTAAACTGACCATTTATTTTTTAACTCAAAACAGGACATGGGTTTATTTATACTCTAAAAACTATAACTTTATACAATTAGTGTTCAATGTAAAATTATATTCGGTATAGACGGTAATTATTAAATGTAACATATTTTTTTTAATTATTAATTACATTTGTCAGTGGATTAAATTTTCTTTAATAAAGTTGGTGATGGTTTTAAATAAAAATAAAATTCTGCTCAAGTTTTTTTATTGTTATCTTTGTTAACAACATCGCCTTTAGAACTCTGGAACCGTAAGTGTTTCTTTCAGACGTCCATAATTTATTCAAAATAAAAAAAATACTCTTTCTACCGGAGCATTCGTACCAGGTAGACATAAAATATATTCGTTTAAAAAAAATTATGTTGAAGATTGTTGACTTTGAATACTTCCATGCAACGAGTTACGGGACAATTTTGTGTCCCGGAGCTTTGTTTGGGGACAATGGGACAGGTGACCGAGAAAAGGGACAGTCCCGTTCAAACGGGACGTATGGTCACTTTAGCTATAACCCGGCGACGGCTTCGTGGCGTAGTGGCTTAGCAATCAGTTGTTGCGCTGGGGGCCGCGGGTTCGAATCTCGCACGGAACAAGTATTTGTATGGCCTACAAATAATTGTTCCGGGTCTGGATGTTTGTCCTTGTGCAATTTATGTTTTTACAATTGAAATTGAAAGATTGAACCCTTATACTGCTTGTTGATTTTTGTATTACCTTTATTAAAGTTACCCTAATGTATAAATAAATATAATTACGTATGTAGAAATAAAATTAATTTTCATGCTCATCAATCATTGGGGTGAGGATAATGTCTGCCAGCATAAATACTTAATAAGCAGGCTAAGTTACAAGGTGCTCAGTTAAAAAATTAGTAGTAATTATAATACTTTTCAATACGTGACACGCAATAATCAAAAACACATCTGTGAAACATCCTATTTATTTATTTATTTTTTATTGCACCAAATATTTGTACAAAAGCCGAGCTATCTATTTATTTACCTATAGTGAATAGGTATCTTTTAAACTCACAATTTTCAATGCTTCATTTCTAATATATAATTAATTATAAAATTTCATAATTAGATAATATATGAAAATACATAATTCTAATATAATGCAACTAATATATACCGAATAAAAAAAATTAAAATACATTTATCTTTGTACGCTGTGTGTATTTCCATAAAATAGTTTATTGATGTTGAAAAAATAATACTACGTTATATTGTAGCGAGTGGCGCGCCGGTCAAATGCTCAAGGCCGTTCGCATGGAGTAGCCCCTTAAGCTTATAGATTATATTGCTATTAAAATTCCGTGAAGTGAGTACATCATTCTTATTTATTATTTTAAATAAATTTCTTATTACACGAAATCTCTTACTTTTTAAGGAATATCAGAACGCCAACATCTTGGACAAACCTTATGAAGACATATCCTATAAACAAAAGTTTTTAGGATTCTAAAACAGGTCGTATTTCATAATATAAAACTCAACTATCCGAACAATGTAAAAATCAAATACACAAGCAGCCTTTTAAGTTATCGCATCGCCCATGGTGATTAAATACCAAAGGCTATCAAAACACGAACTGATAAAAATATAGCGTATAAAGCTCCATTCTTATAATAAATATTTATTATTCCCCAAACAACATTATTCCTTCAATGACTATAACGCAACGTTTAGTGCTTCATTTCCGCTCACTAGAGTAGGCTACCTAAGCGAGCTAGGCGAGGCGAGACATGGCGACTTGCACTTTCGCGCTAGTAAAATGTAAAGATTATACACACAAGTAAAGTAACGTGTACTAGATTTTGCACAGGGTAATCGTTTTTGAATAGCAAAATAATGTCGAACGAGTGAACTCTGAAACCAGCTATGTTTGTCTAGTTACATCAAGCAGAACCCTGAAAAACTACAACTAAGAAGATAAAATCAAAGTCAAGGATATAGTATGGCAGAGAATAAGCAATATTAACAAAACAAGTAAATTTTATCAAAAAATATAATTGTAATTTAAATTATAAAGTAATATTATGTATTGTTAGAAATTATCCCACTTCTTTACTTCTTATTAGGCTTGTAGAAAACATCGATATATCGAACAAAAAATATCGATATTTTGGAGTTATCTAGTTTTTCGATACATCGATATATCAATATAAAATATCAAGTATCGAAAATGTATCAAATACGATTTATTTCCAATACCAAACCAAAT